TAGTTCAGGATCATGTTCTAAAACGTGGTTCGAGCACTTCAAAAGCAAAACAAGCTAACCTGATGAAATAATTGTTTTGAAAAGACTTTTTTAATATGACTCAATTATTATGTCTATTATGAAAATCAATATTTAAAAGATTAACTTTAATACCGAAACAAGCAAGAAAGGTAGCAGCAGGATTCTAAAACACAAACCATTTTTCTTTGTAGAATTTCAAAACAACCATGTTTTTTTTTCTGTTGTTGTCATTTATTCTGGAAAACCGAAAAATAACAGTTTATAAAAACACATTCTGTATTCACCGAGCAAACATTAATCCGATTGATTCAAGTCAAATTTTTTATATAAAAATTCTTCTCATTACTGTTCACTATTACGGAATGGAATTAAAATATTAATATTTTATATCTTACTGATTTTTTATATTGCGTTCCAAATGTAAAAGCAGGTACACCTTGTGTATAGGCACCACCACATAATTGAATATATGCATCAAACGCATCGAACAAACCTAAATATGCTCCTGTAACAGAATATTTTGCTAATTTTATGTTTATTGTATCATTTTGATAAAGTGTTGATGGTATCCAATTATATGATGAATTATTTATTTCTTCATAATATGTTGATGGATAAGCAAGAAATGGTATTGATGTTCTATAGAAATCAAATAATTATTAAAACCGTCTATTCATTTTTTTTTCTTATATTTACCGTATCGATGAAGTTGTCCATATTTGTGGAGATGTCGGTTCCCATATATATCTTTGATATAGATCATAAGCATAATTAGTTACTGGATAATACAATTGCATTGCAACAATATTAGCTAATACTTGACATGCTGTTCCATTCGATAAAAGAGTACGGTTGGATGAGCTAACTGTTTGTGAATTTAAATTCATCTATAGAAAAGAAAAAAGTCAAGTGAATTTTATATTGAAGAAAAATTGTTCTATTTACTCGGCAAAGATATATGGATGCATCGAGATGTTGTTGAAAAAATAAAGATGTTGCTGGACTCTATATTATTCGAAAATTATTTTATAAGAATTTAAATGAAAAGTAAAAAAAACAAACATACTTTAAATCTATTGCCATTATTAGGCGATAAACTAAAATTCAATGCATTAATTACGTAAGTTAAACACATACCATCCTTAATAAGAAAAACAAGGAAAGAAACATAAAATACACAAATACTTGACAATAATAGCTCACTTTCATATTACTACTAGCTGTCGAACAACAATCAATTGTTCCGGGAGGTTGTCCAGTGTGCGGAGTGACATTAGCACAGGGACTACATCTAAAAACAACACAAATGCATGAATTTAAAATAAAGATTATATCCAACCGTTGACTATCTGGATCAGACCATGTACCAATGGCACATAGTGTACATGTCTCACTACCATATCGCGGCTGAGTTGATGGTGAATTGAGCGTATATAAACTACCATCAAGAGCCGATTCCGCTAAAATAAAACATTTTATTAATTTACTAAAGAAAAGAAAAAAAAGTCTTGTAAATACAAAGAACTATGCTTGAATTTGCCGCACTACAAGTAATATTATGAAAAGTACATCCGAATTCATCAGCTGATCGTGTCTTAAAAGATATAATTTATTGATGTATAAAAAATAACAAAATTATATACACTAACATATCCTGGATCACATGGCAAACACATCAATGAACCACCACCTTGCTTAACACCATAATAATGCGTCCTATTTGAACATTCACATTGTGTTTTGTCTAAATGATAATCAAATAATAGATAAACAAAACAAAAAACTACAAATTTTTGTTTTCTATGTCAATATAGGATTACATCTAAAATCTGTTATCGGAGTTTTTGTCGCTTTCATATTAAAATACATTTGGATTCTTAGATAACTAATAAGTTGCTTCTTTGCAAATGACAATATTTAAAATGTGTTCATTTATGATTTACAGCTCAAAAGTAACTAGCTATTACTTATGACTTGAAACGGAATGGATCATTACACAAGGCCAACAGCTTTATGAATAAATTATTCATGAGAAAAAATACATGTGGTGTTAACTTTAATTAGAAAATACCTTTCTTCGTATCACGAAGCAATGATGAGAACTTCACGAATAGTGACCTAACAAGAAATAAGTTGTAGCGTGGACTCAACTCCTGACCATATCTGTAGGAGGGGCTCAAGATCCTTTTTAAGCGGAACTCAACTGCCGGCAGGGAGGATGTCTCGAAGCTTTCTAGTGGGAGCTGAGCACTATCTGATTACGTCGTCACTATTGACGAAACATTCGATTTTTCAAAATCATTGTAATTTTCCTTTGTGATTTATTCTCAAATCAAATTTCTTACCACTGGCTTTTTGTGCAGCATTTGTTGGACAAGGTGAACATTGTAATAAGGCAATATCATAATACTCATCCTTCAAGCATGTTGTAACATATTGAAAACCTGTTTGATAAGCTATATAATTACTTATAGTTTGAGCAAAAATTTTTGTTGATGAAAGATATATTAAAAATAACCATGGAATAGATTTAAATAAAATCATGTTTCAAATATTCTCAAATATGAATTAATAATTGATGAGATAGAATCAGTCGCTTATAATTGTTGCTTAGCAATAACCATTACTTATGTCGAACAAAAAAAAGCAAATCAAATCTGATTGGTGAAACGGTTTCTCTAATCATAAAATAATCATAATACAACATATATATATATATCTATCTTCATCAATTTTTATATTTATAATTGTAGATTAATAATGGACGTCTCGTAACAATTCCAGTGCCACGAGGAAGAAAGTCTCGTCCAACTATATTTTCTAATACTGAACTTTTACCAGCACTCTACAATTGCAAATGTTATGATGAAATGTAAAAATAAACAAATAGCATTTAGTCAAAACAAACTTGTGAACCAACAACAACAATTTGNTGTTTTAACAAAACTTGATTTAATGGATCGTGGAACAGATGCATATGATGTTCTATGTGGACGTGTTATTCCGGTTAAATTAGGTATTATTGGTGTTGTTAATCGAAGTCAAGAAGATATTCATAAGAAAAAAGTTTGTTTGTTCTTCGTATTATTTTTTATTATGAAAAATATTTTTGATATTTTTTAGCCAATTGATGATGCATTACGATATGAATCTGTTTTTCTTCAAAAGACTTATCCATCTATTGCTAATCGTAATGGAACATCATTTCTTGCTAAAACATTAAATAGAGTATATATTAATAATATTCATATAGAATAATTGATATTATTCTTTTTTATAGTTACTAATGTACCATATTCGTGATTGTTTACCATCATTAAAAACTCGTATTAATCAAATGGTATCTCACTTTCAAACACTTATTAATTCATTTGGTGAACCAATTGAAGATAAAGTATACTAGATTTTGTCTTTGTTTTGTTTTATTGAATTTATAAAAACCAAAAAAAAAACATCTTTTCTAGGGTCGATTACTTCTTCAAATCATAACAAAATTTGCTTCAAATTATTGTGCCACTATTGAAGGCACAGCGAAAAATATTGAAGTTTCAGAATTGTTCGTATTAAAACATGAAAGAATATGTTTTTTATTTGTTATTCTTTAGATGTGGCGGTGCACGAATTTGTTATATATTTCATGAAACATTTGCACATGCTCTTGATTCAATTCATCCATTAGACAATTTATCTACATTTGATATTCTTACAGCAATACGAAATGCTACTGTACAATTCATTTTACTTTTTGTTTTTCTAAAATTATTAATATTCAATTTGTTTTATTCTAGGGTTCAAAACCTGCTCTATTTGTTCCAGAAATATCATTTGAATTACTTGTCAAACGTCAAATAAAACGTTTAGAAGATCCGAGTTTACGTTGTGTTGAATTAGTACATGAAGAATTACAAAGAATTATTCAACATTGTGGTGCTCAAGTAAAAATTATTTTTTCTTTGATTTAGTTTTTTACGAAAATATACACTTACAGCTAATTCAAACATTGCGCACTATCTTGTTTCTGGTGTGCTTATGAATTATTCGATAGAACTTTATAATCTAATTAAGAATATCTGTTTTTTAACTTTATTAGCGCACTTATTTTCATCTATAAATGCACGATAGACTCCATAAGTCTGTTTTTATGAAAAAAATATTAAAAATGGAATGGGTTTACGCGAATATCAAATATTTTCATGGTTATCTTTTCTTTCGTGGAAAAATTTATCTCTGGTCTTCATTAGTGCTTAGCAACAAGTGAACTTGTGCAAAAAGTTATTGAAAAACAGTAAGATTAGAAAACAATAATAAAATTAAAAATGGCAAGTTATTAAATAATAAAAGCAGCAGTGTTTTGAAGAAGTTCATTTTTTGATATGCTCTGAGGAGTCCTAGAAGCGAAGTTTTTCACGAAAGAAAAAAGATCGTGAAAATATTTGATATTCGTGTAAATTCATTCAGTTTTGATTATTGATTTAGGATATTTTGTTAGCTTCAATGTTGAAGAACAAAATAAAAGAGTGATCGAAAGATTACTTAACCTATTTTAGATAAGAGTGTTCAAATTATAGTAAAAAACGATATCTCAAGAACGAAAAAAGTTCTTGCATAAAAAGAAAGACAACCTACTTTTGGTCTTTATTGAATGGCAATTCTAATTATGTGTAAGAATATTTCTTGAACAAAAACAAAACTAGACAAGTTTACTAAATATGGTCGGAAAAGTGGCAGATACCTCAGTTCTCTCTCAATACGCAATATTTATTTTCTCCTACTAGAGTCTTAAGAAATGGTTTCTTATATATACTTTTCAACGCTCATGAGAAAAGTCTTTCAGATGATAAATCGTTTTTAAGTCGAACCTATGTACATTATGCAAATCCAAATGAGTTATGAATACCCTGAACAGATTTCTTCTTCTTAGCTGATTGATGCAGATATATTGCAGTTTTATGGTATTTTGTCAAAGAATACCGTAGTCTCTCTGGGACACCAGAAAGACTGACTTTCCAGTTTTGACTTGAAATATTGCATGGAGACAAGTCTTAACGAAAATATGCTTGTTGCGAATATCTTAGATCTTATTGTTATGATAATAGCGTATCTTTTGCATCGCTCATATAGACCAGCAGGCTTGATGTTCTTATTTTAGGATAGAAGCAAAACGAAAAAACAACTAATCTCGTTAAAGTCTGTCTCTATGCAAAGTTTCAAGTCGAAGTTCGAAAATTAGTTTTTCTAATGTTTCTAAGAAGAGACCACAGCATTCATTTAAAAACCAACATAAAAGTCTCCCTCGGACAAAAAAACAGCCTTTTTCCATTTCATTTTTGCATCACTTAATAAGTTGTTTTAGAAAAACAAAATATACTAGTAGATGCAGCGTGAAAAGAACTACAATGTGCAAAGTAAAGCTTATTTTAATTTTGTACTTTTGTTTTCAAAAGAAGCAAAATTGTGTGCGACCAATTTTCGACGCTGGGAAAAAGTCATTTTTTTCTATGCGAACGAGAAATTCCTTTTTCCTTATTTCATCTTTTTATCAACTAATATGTTTTTGTAAAAAAAAATAAAATATACCACAATATGCAACGTGAAAAGCTCTACAATTTACACAGAACAGTTTA